GTGCAGGGGGGAGGGGATCAATGGGGGGGAGGGGACATTTGTGATACTTTCAACAATAAAGAAAAAATAATTCCCAAGTTAGCAACTAAGTACATACCTCTAATCGTGAAATAGGTTGCGGGCCAAAGCTCTCTTCTTCCACTGAAGTATCTGCATTTGCTTCAAGCTGCATCTGCATAGCCATTACTGTGCTCAATACTGAAAAATACAGATGGCCATCAGGAAGAACACTAGAAGTACAGAGCTGCAAACTTAATTTTGCAACAAATCTCTCAAGAATTGCTAGGCTTTTGGTGTAGTCAATGATCTACCCAGAGGCAAGAAAAAGAACAAATCTCTCAACAGCTTTCCCTTCTGCCTAGCTAGTTGTACCAGAAAAACTTTAGGAAGAGTCAGGACTATTCTGTTTCTTAAAGATGCACAGGTTAACTAGATCAACTACATCCCCGTTCTCCTGCTTCATATTCCTTGAGAGTAAGGGCCAAGTCTTGTTTGTATATACTCCATGATACATTATAAATGTTAGGTGTTTCATAAATATTTGGTAAATGAATGCAGACTTTCCAGGACCCTTCTTAAAAAACACACACAAAAAAACGTTGATGAGAGATTAAACTGCTTCAGTTCCATTGTTCCCTTCTAGCAAGTGGGAGTTGGAGGTGGTGGGACAGGCATGAAATAAATGTACAGAATGACTGCCCATAAGCCTCCATGCCTGGTGGAGAAACAGTGGACTGAGATGAGAAAAGTACTTCCCATCTTAGGCAAGGATCATAGCTTATTAGTTACACATTATGCTTCTAACAGGAGTGCATGAAATTTAAAGATCACCATTTTAATCAATTCCAGACCTCACGGAATGCGCAAATGAATAAATAACATGCAAGTAGCCTGCTCACTCTGAAATCATCCATTTAAGCATAAGGGCTATACCTAAAGTGTGATTATTATAAGAGTTAAGACTGCTCAGGTTGAAAAGAAGAACTGAGAACAAAATTTTTTAAAATTATTTTCAAGAGGTTTTATTAGTAAAAGTGAACAAATCTTAATATCCACAAGAATAAAAGGTCTTAAATCAAACCAAAACAATCTGGATAATTTAACAGTCAGGATAAATCTAATTCAAAAGATAATAGATATGAAATCTCCATTCTTAGAGACTTGACAGATGACCATTTGTTCTCCCTTGTTTCAGGTACAGATCTCTTAGATGGCAGTTTTAGCATAATGTGAGTCTTTGACAATTCCTAATATTGAAATCACCTGATTGCAATTTAAATCTCTTCCTTCATAGTTTTATGAAAAAATGGCACTGCAGAGTAACAAGGAAAGAATGGTGTTTTTAATAAATAGTGCTGAGTTGATTGGATAGCCTTATAAAACAAGACAGAAAAACCTATTTCCAATTTAGATTATAGATCTAAATGTAAGAAGTAAAACAAAGCTTTTAGAATATAGGTGAATATCTTCATGACTTTGGGATAGAGAAGATTTCTTGAACTGGATATATAAAGCAATAACCTAAAAGGAAAAGGTTGAAAAACTGGACTACACTTGAAGAATGAAAACTATAGCTCAGCTGGCATGGCTCAGTGGTTGAGCAGGGACCTATGAACCAGGAGGTTATGGTTCAATTCCCAGTCAGGGCACATGCCCAGCTTGTGGGCTCGATCCCCAGTAGGGGCCTGCAGGAGGCAGCTGTTAGATTACTCTCACCATTGATGTTTCTTTCTCTCCCTCTGAAATCAATAAAAACATATTAAAAAAAAAAAAAAAAGTAAAAGTATAGTGAAGGGAGAAAATATTTACCACATGTACAGTCAAGGGTTGATTAACTAGACTATATACTAAAACACTCCACCAAATCAGTGAGAAAGGCAACCCAGAAAAAAAACAGGCAAGAAATTTGAATAAGCACTTCACATCACACTAGAAGATAGCAAAATAGCCAATAAACATATAAACAAATGCTCAACCTCATTAATAATCAGGAAAATTAAAACGAGATATTACTATATACTCACGAGAATACCTAAAATTAAAAAATATTGACGATATCAAGTGTTGGCAAGCATGTGGAAAAACTAAACATACACTGCCATGCTGATTTTAGTGTAAATTGGTACAACTTTGGAAAACTGGCATTAAATGTGAAAGTTGAAACAGACAAATGCTATGATCGAGGAATTTCACTACTCTATATTATTAACCAACTGAAAAGCATACACATGTATACCAAGGTGTGTCCAGGAATGCTCTCAGCAGCCTTCCTCATACAAGCTAAAAAATATAAGCAATCCAAATGTTCACCATAAGTAGAATAAGGAATACCATATGGCAACAATAAAGTACTGCTATGTGCAAAGACATGCATGAATTTAAAGACAGAATATTGAGTGAAACCAGATATAAAAATACAGGTGCCCCCTAAACTGTATACACACTTTAATAGCTGATAGCTCAATTTTGAAAATGAAATGTATTTTAATAAACACTGCCTTTATAATTATTCAAAGTGAGCGTATACATTTTTGGGGGACACCCTATATATAGCATTACTTAAAGGAGCATTTGAAATCTTGCTTCCCCGCATGTCATTAGTTTGGCACAAATAAACTCATAAATATAAATATATATATATATGTATATAATTACTTATATAAAATTCAGAAACAGGCAAAGTTAGTCAACGGTCCTAGAAGTCAACAATGGTTACCTTTGGAGAGAAGAGAGGAGAGTATTAGACAAGAGGGCACAGGAAGACTTCTGGGGTGCTGACAGCATTCTTTTTCACTTGACTGGTGATTATTTTGATTGTACAGGAATATTCGTTTTGTAATAATTCATGGAGCTGCATACACTTTTGATTTGAGTTTTTCTATATGTATATTACACTTTACTTTTATTTTTAAAATTTTTATTTAACGATTTCAGAGAGAGAGAAAGGG